ACACTAGGTAGACTATAATACTGTACCGCACTAGCTACACTATCACACTAGGTAGACTATGATACTGTACCGCACTAGGTACTATATTTTGTAATTACCGTTTAGCAACGACCTTGACTTCAATGGGTGGAATGTAGGCTTTGGGTCCCAGTATCATCCACCTATCACCAGGTCCCCTTTCAACCTTTTCTGAAGAGACRTAAGATTGGAATGTATCATAATGCAAAACTGCTAACTGGGCTTCCTAGCTGGGCTACTAGGGGCTTCCTGTGGCAAATTATCCWCAGGAAGCCCAATAATCTGGGACTACCTTGTAAAGAATCATCTGTAAATCTGTCCATAGAACAGAGCACAAGAGCTTCATCGGCCTCTAGTAGATGAGTCTTTTGAATAAGACCACCCTCAAGACTCTCTCCTAAATGATATGAATTTCAGAGCATCAAATGGAAGCAAAACAATGTTATCATTAGCCTGCATGCAGGCGCTGCCTCCAAATAGTAACACCTGCACACAGTCTATGTTATCATGGATAATCTAAAATGACAAGTTCGTACCAGGATGGAGGAAAAAGCTTGCAACTCCTTTCCGCAGCTCTCTCAATCCCAACTGGTTCTTTCCTTTGCTRTCAACTGGATCAACTACTACGCAGTATTCATCTTTACCAAGAACTGTCTTCTTGACTGTATCAATTATAGTCTAAGAACAAACGAAAATGAAATCTCCTTATATTATAGAAACAGAGGGAGTGAAGAGGAATGATAATGAAAGAATGGAAGAAAGGGACATGTGGAAAAGGTGAAGGCAGAAGGAGAGAATAAAGCAAAAGAGATGAAGTTCAAAAGGAAAGAAAGAAACTGAAAACTGAAAGAAGAATGTGGAGAAAATGCATGAAAAAGGGAAAGGGAATTAAAAAATAAACAAAGGGAGGAAAATAGGAGCAGTTATGGAAAGGAGGGAAGCTCCGAAAATGAGAAATTAGGGAAAAACAAGAGAGAAAGAAGAAAAAATTTGATTAACAAGGCAGTATATAATACCTCATGAACTTCTGGAATATATGAGTCTGAATCATCTATAGTAACTAGCCATTCATCACCTGCATATCTAAATATTAAAAAAAGTTTATGCTTGTTTTCTTTTTAAATGAAAAGATAAAGCCCTTGCATCGGAAGATCATGTGACACCAAGCTTTTCATTGAATATCGCTGAAGAATACAACAGAGACAAGCCAATCAAAATKCATATTTGACCAGCCAATGCCAGGGCCTTTTCTCCACTCTTTCCATTTCTCATTCAAAGACAGACAAGTCAAACAAATTCAAATCACACATACTTTCAAAATGCCAACAACTTATATATAGATCTGACTTAATATCAATGAAAACTTTATGAGTAGATTTGCCTGTTTGAAATCAACAAGAACATAATTAAATTTGACAAGGTTGACATGATGGTAATTTTCACCTTTTCTTGCCAAGAGCATCAATGCCAGTATGTTTTGCTAGCATGTGCAGTGCAAAATCCTGAGTGATAGTAGATGCTTCAACCACATTGGTAATCTAGTAAATAAAACATCTTTATTAATTTGATGATTCATACACATAATTTGTTTGAGAAAGGTTAACACATACCTCTTCAAAAATTCCTGGAAGGTAAGCTCCTTGTTCCCTTACAAGCCACACTTCACCAGTAACTCTTTTTCTTTAAGTTATATAGAGAATCATAATTAATTTCCTTAAGACTACTCTTTTGAATAATGATAATATAATATAATAAATATAATAATGCATATAGACGTGTTCCTCCTCTTCTAATACAAGCGAGGGTTGCAGAGTGGATAACATCAGCTGAACTAGTATTGTCCAGTTTGACTCGGACCATATACCAAACACCATGATAACATCATGTAGTGAGAGGTAGTTGGTGATATTTTGTTTATTCTAATACTCACTTTCCTTTTTTGTCAATAAGGTCCTGCTTGGCTGTTATTTCTAGAGCTTTTCCTGGTCGAACAATTGTTGCTGTCACAAATGACTGGGTGTTTTCCTGAAAATAAACAGCAATGCATAAAAATACTTTTATTATCAATATCAATGGTGCATATTTTGTTAAATACTTACAGCAAAGGAGGCAAAGGGTGTTGGGTAATACGTCAAGGGTCCTTCAAGTTGCCACATATCCCCAGCAAATCGATCTACGTCGCCATCCTTATGGTCAATTATTGCTGTCAATCTTAATGCCTCATTTGGGCCAATCACAGGTAACTGTTTTATACCTTTTTTATAATCTATAATATTAACAGTGTTATTTCATTAATGTAGTGAGAGAAATTTAGATTATGGCCCTATGTTCCAGGAGGAATGACAAGGACAGGTAACAGTAATTTTAGATTATTATAATTATAATTGTGTTGCAGCTTTATCCTGACAACAGACGAAGTTAGGGGGATAACACAATACCTTTCAGGGATTTGGCACCAATAATTTCCTCTCCAGGATAAAGAGGAAAAGGTTCCTACAATACAAACAAATCATCATTGAATGTAATTATGATTTACTACTAAACTTTGACTGCTAACTTTGATTGCCCTTTTATTAGTATAATAGTAAATCACAACAAAGCAGTCAATCTTATATATTAAGTGCAGATACATACATACACAGCAATTCATTTCAATTGTTGAATTATGCCAGCTTGGAACAATAGAGTTGAGTATATTATGTCAGTCTGTTAATATTATTCCCTTGTTTTAACTTGTTTACCTTGTGAAATCTAACTTCTCTATGTCCATGGTTCAGATTACATTGCTCTCCAGGCTGGTTAGGCTCTCTTGATAAAAACAAAATGCAAACAACATTTACTATATTCACATGGATGCTAACATCATAATGACTATAGAATTTCAAAACTTTGAGGGTTGTAGCTGTCTCTTTTACTGTTTCCTTGCAGGAACAGGATATTTAGCATTACTGCGGCAATCTTCAGTATATAGCTTTTGTTTAGAATAGTTGCCACATGTAGTTTGTGATGGGCAGCCTGTGCAATAGACAACTTACTTGACAGGGTTTTGTATCATGCAGTAATGTCCAGGAGGGATGACAACAAAAGGTAATGGGCCTTGTTCAAGTACATGGTTGTCCTGAAGAATCATACTTTTTGGACCAACTTCCAGAACAGTCACATTGGTATTCTTATAACACAGAAATTTGATTTAATAATATTCAAATGATATATGAACATATATAAAACCTTGATCAATGCATTTACAAAAAAAAAAAAAAACAATGCAAGAGCTGCAGACATGAAATATGCAAAAAATCTATTGAAACTATTAAAGTTTATCAAACTCGTTCCTGAAGTTTGCAGTGCACGCCTTAAAAGCCTTTAAAGCGGAAATATCATTGTCGATTTTAACGCGTTTGTACGTATACTTCTGCACAACGCCTCCACTCTTCCTTTTTTTACATTATTCAGCACCTTTAGTTCAACTCCTTTCTAGATTTTAAAGATGATTAAAAGGCAGAGTTCGACGACTTAAAAAACTTGACATGTCAAAGGTCTGACATATTCGACTATTATTCGATATTTAGACGATAAAATGTACACTTACCAAGTCTTTCAAGTGCACGTATTGCAGCGGCTGTATACGGACAATATTACTCATTTTTYCAAGCAAAAAGTATAAAAATGTCAAAGAATATCAATGAAATGCAACCAAGAGGAAACAGCTGAACGACTGCACTAAATAACACCAGGACCACAAAGCATTGTGGGTGATCCGGAATAAATCTCACTCTCATAACAATTTTTTTTCTTTTTTAGATCATTTTATTTTAGAAGCGAATTTAATTAGTTTTTTTTAATATTTTTAAAAACATAAAAGATTTCATATTGTAGGACGTCAAAATAATTTCAACTCTTGTTTCTCGTGAGCTGGTACTTTTTGTTAAAAATATTCCACAAATTATAAGCACTGTAAGTATTCTGCAATTTTCCTCTGTATATAAAGTAAAATGCCTGAAAAATATCATCAATTGCCAAATTACTCATATTATATAAGCAAGAATAAACATTTTTGCGAAATAAAATAAATCTCTGATGGGCTACCTGTGGAAAATGTCGCGCGTGATGCATCACGAGGGAGTACCCAAATAAGGCAATATGAACATAATGAGGTAGATCTCCCGCGAAATACAAAACAAAGTTGAGCGCAGGAAAAGAAGACGTCGAATTTTATGCAATTTTCTCCATCGCTAAAGCTTAATTAGAGCAAAGCTTGTGCTTTGTCTCTAGAATATTGTGAGAAGGTTAAAATGGTGGAAAAGGACTGGCAAAATTCGTCTCTTTCTGCGGATATTCACGACGTTTTGCGCGAGAAAGAAGCACGACTTCCGAACTTCATGGCTGCCTCGCCACAGTTAAATCTACGTCGATTTCTAGTTGACTGGCTAGCGATAGTCACAGAGAAAATAGGTTCTTCACATGGAGTGCTTCATTTAGCAGTTTACTATATGGATTTCTTTATGGACAAGTTTATAGTTCAAGAGTCTCAGCTACATCTTTTAGCACTCTCTTGCCTTCTGCTAGCAGGTAAACCTTAGATAATGTTATAAGCTTATAGTTTTCCGCTGAAAATGCACAAAACATAGACTTAATTTTAGACCTCAATATGCCCCAAGGTGTGATAAAAATCCCATGGATGTTAAAATTGAAAATGTGACTTTCAACCTTATCTTTGTCCACAGCCAAATTTGAAGAGAATGAAGACAAAATTCCCACACTTTCTACATTAAATAAATTTGCCAATGATGTTTTCAAACAAACTGAATTCCACCAAATGGAACTGCTATTGCTTGATTTCTTCAAGTGGAATGTTGATTTGCCTACGCCAGTGCACTTTATGGAGTACTATCTAAGCAGAGCACTCATAGACCTTGACAACCAGGAAAAGACTGTATCAGATGACATGCCRAGAATTGGTACTTACATGAGAAAATATGTACACTATTTCCTGGAAATCTCTCTACAAGGTAAGTTAAGAGCATCTCTATTGTAAGTTGTAAAATTTTATATCTTCAATATTTGTTGGCTGTGGACTAAATACCAAATGACCTTTAGATGTCACACAGGTGGTCATGAAAACACAGAGGATAATGTTGTTTCACTCATCAATTGCTCTCAGAGGAAAAATTCATTTTAACCTATTTTCCWTTTTTCAGATCATACATTTCTTTCCTTTCTGCCATCTTTAACGACAGCTTCTGCAATAGCCGCAACAAGAATTTCACTAAAYCTTTCGCCTTCTTGGACAACTTACTTGGAGAAAGTTACTAAGTACACATGGGAAAAGATCCTACCATGTACAGAAATCATGCTAAGGTAAGACAGAAGTTTGAAAAAAATTGATTGGTTAACTTGAGTATCAAGCCCTTTTGGAGAAAGGAATGTGAGGGACTGGAGAGGAGAGGGATAGGCAAGCCTACCAGATATCTCTATATTTTTCTCTAAAAGAGAGCATGATCATGTTTTTGGTTGATCAATTTAGTTATTTGACTGAGCTAACCATATCGTTAATTTGAAACCCATAGGGCCCATGAAGCTGACAAGAAAGCACAACAAAAAAGCAAAAATGCAAAAGGATAAACTTTACAATGCCCTCATCAATTTAATATAGAAATATCTTTCAAGTCTTCAAGATTGCAGTGTATCTGGACGATGATCAAAAATGAATTGCCATTGCACTATATAATGATATAATTATTGTACATTCATTTATTGAAGTATGAAGTGTGCTATCAATTGGTTATTATATTTTTAAGTAATTGAACACTCTTCATCCTCTAGAGTTAATTATTAGAGTCTATTTGATGCAAAACATCAATGGAACAAAGGTTTGCCATATTTAAAATAGAACAAAAAAAGACACTTAAAATGTTATTGTTATACTTAGAAGTCAAAGAAATTACTCAAAAAATAATGCACAATAAAGATTCTAAAAATATGTTAGCCTTCAGAAAGTGTTTAGGTATTTTAATTGTGTTTGTCTGTCAGACTTCTAGCTTTCCATTTTGTCGCTCATTTTATTTTAGTCTCTTTCTGTATACATTTAACATGATATTAGAGTGGAGTCAAGAAACCTTTAAATTAGACCTGCAAACCTTAACCACCCATCTTTACTTTCTTTTTATCATGTCTATTTGACCTTTTACATTATTACCATTTTGTTTTCCATGTTTATTATCTTGCCTCCACAATGATAAATACAAAAGTTCACCCTTTAAAAGCTAGTAATGTAATGAGTTACACCAATCTGCTCAAATATGCCTCAAATCCAGCCTCTTTGTATTCAATAGCWGCTTTGATTGGATCTTCAGCTTGATATATTCCTCGKCCAACAATKATGACATCACTGCCTCTCTTACCAACTACCTCCTCAGGGGTCAGGTACTGCTGGCCAAGATTATCTCCACCACTGCTAAGCTTTACTCCAGGTGTCATGTGAATAAACTCTGCGTCATCAACAAGACTGTGTAAACTAATAAACCCGACAACAAAGTCTTTATTTCTGGTCGCCATGTCAACAGCAGCCTTTGTATAATCCCCAGTAGCCAAATTCCCCTGGGAACTCATTTCAGCTATTAGTASASAGCCTCTTTGTTTAGGTTCCCCTACTTCTTTAAGCCCTGATATCACCCCTTCTCCAGGTACTGGATGAGCATTCACAATATGTGCCCAGTCAGAGATATGATATATTCCTTGACTGTACTGATGCTTGACTGTGTTTCCTATATCAGCAAACTTGCGATCTTCAAAGATCAAAAATCGGTGTTTCTCTGCGAGCTGGCCAAGCAGTGCAACAAATTCCTGAGAAAAGTCCTCRATAATGTCCACGTGTGTTTTCACAAGACAGATATGAGGGCCAATCTTGTCAACTAAAGCAAGAATATCAGAACATCTTGTCAGGTCAACTGACACAGCAAGGTTGGTGGATTTTGAGCTCATGATCTSAAACAGCTGCTTGGTGAGAGGGTGTTTTGCAACATTTGCTCTTGYTTCATATGACATCGAYCTTGCTTTSGGCTTTTCTGGCTTGTCAWCTTCAACTTTAAACTGATTTGCTGCCAAGAACTCCTTGACATCCTCAACTACAGCTGAATTGATCTTTCCTTGGCTGTGAAGGACTTGAAGTGTCTTCTGAAGATTCAAAAGCGAGTGTAGTTGAATCCCACTGGCCTTCAGCTTATCTATACCACCCTGACATCGATCTAGCAGCACTACTGTATCGGTAAYCTTYAACCCAACCGAGTTGAGCGATTCAACAGTCTCTAAAACGCTTGAACCACTAGTTACAATATCTTCAATAACCAGACAGACATCGCTTTCTTGAAAATGGCCTTCAATAAGCTTCTTGGTTCCATAAGACTTTGCTTCTTTTCTCCTCATGACCATGGGCGCGTTATAGTTGACGGACATACAAGAAGCGATGGGTAGAGCAGTGTATGGCACGCCACAAATGACATCGAAGTGTATACCAGATTCCTTCACAACTTTCCACATTAGCTCACTTACAAGCTTCAAAACATCGGGATATGATACAATYACTCGTAGATCTACATATATTGGCGACTCTATGCCACTTTTAAGGGTGAATTTGCCAAATTTGATAGCATTTATCTCGAACAACTTCGCGATCAAAGTTTCGTCCGCCATTTTGTATATTGGTCTTCCACGTGCTCGTCGCATATAAATTACCACAGGTATCCCACTCACCTAGGAATGACTCAAATACATCACTGGAAATGCTTCATATTTATTGTGATAAATATACGATATACAGTAGAAAATGTCCTATTTGATTTCTCAAAAACCCTATGTTATGCTATAAATATCAATTTATTATTTATTACCTATATTGTTTCATAGAAAAAAAGAAGGCAATGGATGTACACATGTTTTTTGACAGCCTGACTTTTTACATTATTATTTACAAATGCCTTGGTTGAATGAAAATACTTTTTCTTACAATAATGGCATTTTAGTGCATGCATAGTGATACCAGAGCATCCTAAAAAAATATTTATAGAAATCCGTACGATCTTTAATGAGAAATCCATGAATCTAGGATAGCTCGCTGTTCTTTTGAGCTGACATTGACAGTAGGAATAATCCTGTTGGGTTTGATGAACTTCACAAATTGCTCTAATTCTTTGAAGCTGCTATGTTCACTGTATGGAACACCTGGAAAAATGAATCCACAAAGAGGATAAATACAACGTAAAGAGAAATGGAAAATGAGAAATGGAAAATGAGAATGACTAAATGGATGAATGAATCAATGTCTGTTTTAAAGATGAATCAATAAACAAATGGGTGAATGAGCAAATGAGAAAGAATATATGGGAAATAGGAATTATGAATGGAGCAAGTAGAGTTGGTTAGATATAGTAACAAAGAGYGTCATACCATATATGGTAATTGGTCCTGATATRGTGGGACGAATATCTCTTGCCGAGCRGGCATTATGTTCCCATCCAGTRGGCTTGAATGCAAGCAGTTCATTGTAGGATTGTTTGTATTTTTTCAAATGACTTTGAAGTTCCTAAATGAGATTTCAAATATATTATATATTAATTCAATATAAATCTTAATTTACCATGCACTGCATTGTATAGACTTCTTATAGTTCCTAAAATAAAGTTCTATGCATCTGTGAGGAAAAGCAACGATTAATCTAGTTTATATATTAGAGGGTTTTTTTTACAGTGTCCCCCAAATGAAATCTGCTTTAATGGCACATACAAGGGGTCTATACAATCTGACTACATATCTAAAAACATTTAGACAAAGATTTTTAGCTCTTTCTAAACACTAAATGTTAGAACTTGTCTGAATGGTTTGTATATGTTTTTCCTTACTGATGATATCATAAATCTGCAAAAATGTTATATCATTAATGAATCCAATCAAATCCTTCCACACCTTGACTTTCAAGTCACCAATTTTTAATACATGAACACCACCAGATTTCCAGTCAGTGGTTACCAATGTGGAAACCCTGTCACATTCAAGACAATCAAGTATCCTCTTCTTCTCTTTAGTGACACTCACTTTACAGCCTAATGCTTCAGCAATTGCTGAAACAAAGACACAAGAGTTTGATACGTTCTAAGTTATTAAAGTCCAGCACAATAGTCTATAATGTCCACAAGTTACATTTGTAATGCACAAAACCTCTTAGTAGTGAAGATACGCAAATGAAGAGTATCAGTACCCAAAAAGACTTTCTCCTTCCCAATTGTGTATGTTCCACAAACTATCAATGTTCTAGGGTTTTTCTGCTTTGCCTGCAGAGCCTTTTTCACAGCAAACTGKACCATTTCRTCTTGCGAAGGAAAACTGTATGCTGGATCACAGTACCTTCAGGAAAGATATTCAAAGTTTACATAAGAAGACTATGTCATAGTCAAAGTTATGTATTACTTAAAACACTGAATACATACGTGGTATCAAGGAATAATGAAGTGATGTGTCTGACTCTTAACTCTTTGTACTTTTCCATACTTCGAGATGCACGGAAATCACCTGTAAGTTTTGAAAGGAATTTCATCTCATGAGTTTGTATAATAATAAGTTCCATCCTGTCATTCAGGCTGCAAATAAAATTATACCAACAACTTGTCATACCTGTATGGAGGTAGTTTTCTCCAGTTGGCAGTTCAAATAAGAAGAGTACAGCACCTGGACAACTGATTTYATGAAAAAGAACTTGTAAGCAAAGAAAAGTCTATCTATCTATCAATCAAGTAAATATAAGGAGTGGATTCAAGTGATCGGTCAATCAATCTATAGGTCAATCAATCAATCAATCATCCATTCAATCAATAAATCAATAAAATCAAAAAATCAATTACTTAAGCAATTAATAATTCAATCAATAAAGCAATCAGCTACTAATCAGACAATCAATTAATCAATCAGTCAGACAATCAACCAATAAATTAATAATTTATTCATCAATGAATCACTTTATCAAATAATCATTCAATCAGTTATTCAATTCCTTACTGATTTGCTTCAAGTAGAGTAACCTGTACTTTATCCACTGGTGTTGCAACATTCATGGGAAGTTCCTTCACAAACCTGGCATCMACTTTGATCCTTGACCTCACAAGATTTGCTGTAATCTGAAGTATTCAAAATTATATGATATGCAAAAGTTGAAATATCATTTTAACCCATGACACAAAGAGAAGAGTTCTRTAATTATTTACAACCCTTTATTATCAAATTGTAACAGAGTGTTCATRCRTACCTTGCTGCAATAGATGGTTTTCGAGAATCTTGCTCTGAGTCCTTTGTAATGGTCATAGTGAAAGTGACTTAAAAAGTAAGCCTTGATACCAGGTATAGGGCCAAAATCAAAAGCATCAACCACAAAAGGTGTTCCTAGTATGTCATAAACAGTAATGTTATATGTATTTGTAATAATACATGGGAAACTCTCTTGGAAAGAGGCACAGAGAGCTTATAAAGCACAAAAATTAAATATATCATTAGTAAGCTAGTACTTCAAAAATAATATGTCTAAGTCTTTCCAACAAAGTTCTARCAAGGTTATCAGTTATAGCTCAGGGGTGGTTTCAGAGGAGATGCTTTGGGTGCAGATGCACCCTCCCCCTCCCCCTCCCCCCTTTTTTGACGACGTTATTTTTTATATATCAGTATAAGCATTTTTTTCTGCTGTTTATAATCCTGTTGTAATTTTATCAAAAAAACAAGTAGCATACAAAGCATTAGTTATTACCAGGAATTTTCTTGTAATATGGGCACTTTCTTCCTACATAACCGCCATTAACATTATCATCATTCAATGAATCCATGTCATCTTGAGTTTTCTTGTATTTTATAGTCTTTTGTTCTGTGCTAAGCATRGTTTTTTGAAGTGGTTTGATGCCAAAGTATGTTCCTATGTCAGCCTGCTTAGTGGATGTAGACATACTTGGCTGTATTGAGCTCTGTTTGTCTGARCTATTCACAGTTTCACATATGTTGCTTGAGGATTGTTCTTTCTTTAAGGGATTTATTGAACTSTTRGCTGSAGAGATTTCTTGTGAGCATTTATTGTCAATCAAGTGAATGGAAGGTATTTTTGTATTGATGTTTAAGTTAGCAAGTAACTCATCATCACCACATGCTTCACAGAAGTCCTCGATTGAATGACACGTGGATATATTTTGCTGAGTTTTATTGATGTCATCATTTTTGATGTCATCATCATCATCACATTGCTCAGAATATAGCTCTAGTGAATTCTCATTGAAAGCTTTGTCATTGACGATTGTACTGGAAATTTCAGCAGTATCATTGTCATCATCATCACCATCACCATCTTGCTCAGAATATAGCTCAAGTGAATTCCCATTGAAAGCTTTGTCACTGCTTATTTTACTAGAAATTTCAGCAATATCATTGTCATCATCACAATTATCATTACTCTCTTCTGCATATTCATATCTTTGATTTTCACAGTCTGTAAGTACAATCTTGCATTCACTTGTCTGTACTTCAGAACTTGTTTTATTAGCTTGACTACGCTTTTCAGCAAGCATATCATGATTGTACATCTTGAAATGGTCAGAACTCTGCTCATCGCATGCCAAACCTTTTGGACATGGGCCTAGAAGATACAAGGTTAGAACTATTTTTACACGGGTAGCCCAATTTATAAATCAAAAGTTTCAAATCTGACAAAAAAAATCACACAAAACTCAATCCTATCTACAATAGATTAAGCTTTTCTCATAACATTAAACTAATTTATAAATGTTCAGTGAATCACCTTTATAGTCATACACTTTTTCAATACAAAGCTKGACATGTTCTTGGAATAGATTGTCATCAAAAGACTCTGAAGGCGTTTGACATRTTGGACAAAACTCTTTGGATTGTTTTGAAGAATTTGATTTGAGTTTACACGTCATATCCACATCCACAGAATATCTAGATGAAACATAATTTGTTTCGGATACTTTGGAGCACGAAGTACGASGTTGCATATAATTTAGGATACTATTTCTTTGATGTTTCGATTTCGTTGAGGCCGTTTTCTTTGGACCACTTTTAGAAGTCTTGGCATTTCTGGAATTAGTGCTCAATTTTGACTTTGATTTTTTAGCTTCTTGTTTTTCTGAGCTTGAAGAGCTTATCCTACGTTTGAGCATCTTTAAAGCGCTGGCATTTCATGTCCTATTTGCATTTGTCTGGAATCAACAGCAGACGTAAAATATTCGACCTTCGATGAAACCAGACGTATGTAAATGATTTCGTGAGTCACTCTCAGTCACTCGCGTGTTGGCGCCAAAGAAAGGATTATAATTTATGTAGACGTACTACTTTGACTCATGACAGTAAAAAATAACATTTCCCCGATAATATCAACGTTTTCTTGTAAACAAATGCTCAAAAATAATATCTATAATCAATAAGAATTCAACTTCCCCGGAAAGATGTCACAAAACAATATAAAAATACATTATTAATCATTATTCTTACGTAAACCCAGTATATAGCTTTAACGAATGACCGCAGTGCTCAAATCGCTGGCTCATAATTATTACACCATCATTGGAAAGTCAGAYAGAGTTTACATGTAGTCTTTGTCATTCAAATTTTAGTGTTACAGRGCATCTGATCGCTCTTGAAACTTCATCATAGCATAAAGAAGGAAAAGAAGATGGGTTTAACTTCGCTAGAACAGTTATGTCTTCTCCAGATAGCTAAAGACATCAAGTTCTGGTGCAGCGGTGTCGAAACCGAAGGGCTCAACGGCTGCTTGTACATGCTGGGACCGTTCGATCAKTTAGGTGAGTATTTCACGTTATTCAGATAWTTGGTTAAGTAAAATGTTATATCCATTGCTTTTCTATCAACCTTAATCCGATTTCACCTAATTCACAMTATCCCATCCACATATCTTTTCATTATATTCTTCCATTCAATTCATTTATCCAATCCCAGCTTATAATAATCTTGTTCATATGTTTCTAGGATCAAGGCAGATACAAGAACTCATTGCCATCCTAGCTAATAAGAAACATCTTAAAGTTYCCTACCTACAGAGTCTATTGCACCATGGAATAACTTCACTTGACCTCAGTCTTTGTAATTACCTAGTGTCCGATTCCTTAATGCAGATGATTAGTAAAAGATGCCAGGTGATTATGATGTGAATAAATATTCTGAATAAGTTTTGATAAATCTTATCATTTATTTATCTATTTGTAGAAATTGCAGCACCTTGCAATACCCTACTGCAACAAACGCATTTCAGTTCAGTTTCTGCAAGAGCTACCAGCAAATCTTCCTAGTTTACGGAGCCTYGACTTGAGTGGTTGTTCAACATGCAATGACAATGTACTCATGGCCATTGGACAGCACTGTAAAAACATCCATGTGTTAAAGCTTCGATCTTGTAAAAAAGTCACTGATCGTGGCCTAGAATTCCTTAACATGAACAAAAGCATATTGGAACTGAATCTGTCTGGGACAAGCTGCTCCCCTGATGGAGTTTTTAGGTTGCTGCAAAATCATCAGCATTTACAGAGTCTATCATTGGAAACCTGCAGTTCAAAAGATCACCCATATTTTAACACAAAGTTTTTATCATTACAAAAAACAAGACTGAAGTATCTGGACATCTCTAACACTTCTGTAAATGACAGCTGCATTGCAAATATTGCAAAGATATGCCCTGAAATCTCTACTCTTATTCTTACTACATGTGGGGAGATTACTGGTGAATCYTTGCTGCAYTTGAAGTCTCTTGAGCTTCTAAAACACTTGGAGATTCATGCAYTSGGAATWAATTGTTATGTTCATCTGCGGGAATTTCTAATAGAGCGTGGTACTCACTTASAAGTACTTCACCTAATAATGGCCTCACATATCGATACTGGGATGATTGGGTYCTACTGTCCMAAYCTTACAGATTTATCTCTTTCTGGATCAACAAATGTCCTTGGATCATTMACACAACTGCCTGACCAACGAGTCACTTTAATAGAAGCCTGCCCTCATTTGAAAAAACTTGATATTGATGGCACTAGCTTTTCTGCTGAAAAAAGTTTGCAAGAACATTTTTCAGCAATATTTAACAAATCTACCAACCATTTGGAAGTTTTGAACTTTTCTGATTTAGAAGATATTGAGCTTGATGGTGTTGAGCCATTYGTTGAAACATTCTCTGGCTTGAAATGCCTTGACATTTCATTCTGTAATCTGGTCACTGTTGACCTTGTTATGAAGTTTGTGCAGTGCTGCAAGAAATTACAGCACCTGAACGTTCTCGATTGCTGGAAAGTTCATCTCTGTGATGTTGAAAGAGCAAAGCAAATAGCTAGAGAACAAGGAAGAGAATTAGAAATAGTTTGGAAATAATGATATCAAATAGAAATAGTATTGATTTTTAATGTAAATACATAGAATAAAATAATAAATATATTATGTACTTACAATTTTTAGTATCAGGCAGACACTAATAACCTTTCAAAGGAGGTTATCATTGCTAGGCAACTAAATAAACCAATTTTAATATACTAGCTAATTGTCTCTATTTGGAATCTGGAATTAGAGTCCATGGAAACAGATTCCAAGGAGAGGAATCTGGAATCTGGTATCTAATTAGTGAATTCAAATTTTCCCTTATATTGTAAATGAGTAACTAATAAACAACAACAAAATATAGGATCTTTTGCATTATGCCCAAAGGGTGGAATCACAAGAACCCTTGCACAATTTTTCATGAAATCTGGAATCCAGGAGTTTGGAATCTGCAGTCCCGATACGCCCCAGATTTCCTTTGATGGAACGAGAAAAATGTGAAAATACGCTTCAGACGAAGCTTGATGTTTAATGAGATGCTAATGTTTTTATGGCCAGCGGAAACCGCAGAATTACAGATTACAAGCGAGATTACACACCAACAGAAGCGTGGGTATTTACTAAATGCAAAGTGATACATTTCTCCCTATAAAACGTGAGTCCACCTTAAGAGCTAGTTTATTAAGCTTAATTGATGTTTCATATTTCTTGCTAAGAAATCAAGTTATTTAATTTGGATTTCTGCTTCGAACGGTGCAAGAAACCTGGGGTGAAACCTGCTGTTTTGTGTATACAAGAGTTGTTTTTGTTTTAAAATGCATCACTTTCATTTAAGAATACAGTGAATTCGTATAGTTATTTCGCTAAATTCTGCTATATATGCAATATGACAAGGCGAGGGTGTGTTACCGTGTTTACTGGTTGCATTACCACTCAGTTATAGATATTTTCCAGTTTACATACGAGGAGTTTTATCCAGGTTTGCTGGTTTCTCTTAATCATACAAAATCAGCTGTCAAAAGCATAAGTACCAAACATGCTAAAATGCTCTAAAGTGAAGATTTTCAGAGAGAGACTACTCTCATTGTCCTGATTGTCCTGGTTTATACAACATTTTCTATCTAACTGCGTGTGGTTACAAAGAAAAAGAAGCGGTTCATTCATGCAGAAAATTAGCTGGAATATGCAAGGGATTTTAAGATTTTATAAGTTAACTAATATTTTTCTCACATGGCTATCACCAAATTATAAAACGTATCCCTAACAACTAATATTTGACGAAAAATTGTCTGCCATGTCGTCGGCAAACAAAAACYAGCACGGTGAAAATATCTTCGGCCAGCTTACTTAATTTTTCATTTGGTATATGTAAATATTTTTCAGTCCAGAATCAAATTTAATTCACATGGTAGACACTTCTTTTTCTCTTATCATTCTTCACGAAACACGGAGGAGCGTCGCTTTAAGTTCTTGTATCTACAAGTCTCAATTTTTGAATACTAAATTTTATTTGCTAACACTTACGATATGTGTGATACTTTTCCCCAGACACCTGCCCTTTTAATCCACAGCCTTTTCCAGATCGTGTTATGCTCCAATCAGGAAAAAAAAATAGTTTGCATACAAAACTTCAGGTATTAATATATTAGCTAGCTAAATTTTTCCTTTTTTTAAACGTTTGCTCTCTAATTTCCTCAGCTGTTACAGTTACTATGGCACGACATTGGTAGACTAGGAATTAATTAATATGCGAGGTAGAAAGATTTTGTGTTACCTTAATTATAAACTAGCCCGCACCTTTTTTACATGGTCCAATGGCAGGTTCTGCATTTCTAGGRAAGAATCTGGTTTTGAACTTTGAATTCAAGATTTAAGACCTATTCCAGGTTTCTGCATAAAATGCCATAAAGGTTATTAATAAATGAAGAATGGAACCGTTGTCGACCGAATCAGCGATACCACAGGCACTACCCCTTCTTCGACAAAACACTCTATTTTCAATTAATGAAGTCGCCAGGAAAACCGCACCTGATTTTCAAAAACCTATTCAATCTAAAACTAGCGGCTACTATACGTTCCGTAAACCTGTTCGTGGCATTTCGAGTTGACAGCCGATTGAGTCTATAAAATACATCATTCTGTTTTCGTCTYTTAATTCCACAAACTACTCGAAGGCCCACCAGTCACACTGATGTCAAGTCAGGCTGTATTTTGTCAACAATTTCTTGATCTTAACGTTAATTGGTTAATAAAAGGGCTGAGTAACCACATTCTARTAATATGGACATTGATAACCTAGACTTCTGTTAAACATTAAACAGCCAAATGCCATTGTATGCAGGGTTTTCGAAAGCTATTTTGTTTTTAAGTGAAAGGGACGAGCTATGAGCATATTTACGTAAGTATGAAACGACAGCTAGACCTATGTGAGTAACCTACGGAATACAATAGGTTAAATTATTTATGATAATAATGGCAAAAACCATGCTAAGTCTTTATTTCTGTATCGAGATTATGCCTCGTTATGGCATCTCAGAACAGAATAAGATTCTGCCTCATTGCATAGATACATCGTTCACTGAGAACACTAACCAAAGTGTTTTTCTGTAGGAAATATACTAGAATAACTTGTAACATAACATGGAGCATTGCAACACTTGTAACCTTTGAACCTTATTTACATTCTAAATTTATAAATTAAACTGCNTCTCGGCTATTAACACCTATTTTAAAGATGAACTATTCTACAAAAATCACGCTGTCTCGCTTGTAACAAGAAGAAAGATATTCGACTCTATGTTTAGAAGTAAACTTACGTATTCATGTCAGACTTGGTCGTTACCAGAAGCTTCTCTGAACACTTTTACTGCTACATACAACTACTATCTACGTAATTTAGTAAGAGGAGGACACAAGAGAAAGGTACCCCAATCTAGTGATTCCACAACTACCCCACAAGATACAGATATGTCTTATATCCTAAATAACCAGCAAATTATACAATACAGCATGGCAACACCATTGGAGGAATTTGTCCATAATCAACAACTAAAATGGTTCTCGCACATCGTACGCTCATCAAATATAAGATACATTAAGAAACTAACGTTTTCAGATGTAACAAGGAAAAGAAAAGGTCAACCTATGAAGACACTTTTAAGAACAGTTTATAAGCGATTGAACGATTACGAGCCAAGTCAAATACTGAAAGCCTGTTTCAAGCGAAAGGAAAACAGTTTAATTAGTAAAGGTTGAACGTCATTCAAGTAGAATGACAGCTAAATGTCTCTTAAGGAGGGACGGGCAAATAATTGATTGATTGATTATTTACATTCTAAATTTATAAATTAAACTGCTCTACACTAAACCGTACAAATACACAACGGCACATATGTATATCGCGAGCTCTAGCCAACGTGATAAACGTTTCCTTTGCAGCAGGTTTTATTGTAAGGCATATTGAAACAGCTTGGGTTTTTCTGTCTACCGAGGAACAATACKTCATTAGTGATGATTCAGGCACATAGTTGTATTCTATTGTTTCCCTTCACAGTAGCTAAGGTTTTCTCGAGAATCGACCTTTGAAATGATTGTCTAACTGAAGACCTTTGGATTTCTGTTKKTTTTTTTCAGGATAATGGCTTCTTTTCGAAGAGCGTTGTTCTCTTATCGTCCTCGTCGTTTTCTCTTGGTTGTTGTTGCTTTTAGCATTATGTTAATATGGTTTTCACTGGTCATAGACGATAAATCGATAAGTTTAAGACCAGCTGTCTCAATGGTAAGTATAGTGAATAAGATAAATAGGAAAGGAACAATGAATAGATGGATGGGTGAACGAAAGGAGGAAAGTGGATATATGAACAGGTATAAATGGATCTAAWTCAGAAAATAACACTGGATTTGTTTGTTGGCTTCACAGGGACAACCGGATCATGACCATCTGCATTTACGAGAACATTTTCCAATTTCCAAAGATTTCATAATGGTAAAAATCAAAAAATTCTTAAGGACCGGTCATAATTTATATGGGGGGAAGGGGTGTTGGGGGGAAATCGAGGTGAGGAGGGAGGGGGGGCAGGTTTAAATTTGTAAAAGAATGGGGGTGGATAAAAAAAAGTATGTTTGGGGAGCGTGGGTTACTTTCTGTTTGGTGAAATGCACACGATTATAAATGGTAGTTCAAATTTCACAATCTTTCGATAACGATGAATATGTAATTAAGAAAACAAAGCCATTTACATTCATACATGTAATAACATTGGAAGTATTTTCAATGGCATCTGACTTAGAWTGGGGTGGGTCACAAATTTAATGTTATACTCCAGGGGGTGGGCCAAAGAAAWATTTTGCATTTTGTACAAAAAAAGTACCCCCACCGCCAATATAAATTATGACMGGTCCCTTAGTTGCATATTTAGAGCACAACTCTATTTTAGGTCCACCTCTATTTTACGACCTCCTCTATTTTACGTTCAGGGATTTCTATATTTTACGGAAAGCTCAATTTAAAGACACACTTGCGTCCGAGAATTTTTGCGACCGTTTCACAGCTGTAGTAAAAAAAGAAATGCTTTTTGAAYTGCTTGGCGATTTTTATAATGTGAGAAAATCGCGTTCAAAGATTCTTGGATGCACTTGGGATTTTAATAGGTTTAAAACTACATTCTTTGTAAAAATGACTTATTTCCACTACATGACTCTTTAGAAACTCAATTCGAACTCGCATTAATAAGATAAATGGCAAGCTTTCTAATTTGTAATTAATTAAACGTTTCAATGTACCTACCATCGTAGACTTCTAAACCCACTAAACTAGAATATATTGAAGAGTTTCAAGAGTCTCTTCGTTGACCAAGAATAACATTGTAAACTAAAACAATTGTTGTTAAAGCAATATTGTTACATTATGTAGATCTCCAATGTCGAACTGTCCTCGTCAAACCTACTTTCGTCCACTGGAACATTAAATGAAGCAATGCGATTGTGTAACCAGGCCAATGTTAGCTGCCTTGGGTTCATTAATGCCAGATCACATGATCACCGGGTGTTTTCCTTGGTGATGTCAGGAGCTACTATAAAACGAGGCGTGAATACTTTCTATTTGAAGGCTTCTATGGCAGGGGAGATTTGTAAGTTACAATTATTGGTTGTTCGACGTCTGTTTGGTGAATTGGTTGCTTAGTTACTTTTATGGAAGATCAATTGGTTGGCTAGTTGGTTGGTTGGTCGGTAGGCMGATCGGTTGGCTGGTAAGGGTTGGTTGGTTGGTTG